TGTAATTTTTGTCGTCCATCTGTTTGTTCTTCTTACCAGGTATCCTTCCCAGGGCCATTTGAGGGATTTGACTCTGTGGATGACATCTATTACTTGGATCTTTTATCGCATCCACTCTATTCTTTTACGGTATCGGGTTATTCCCAGCATATGTCGTTCCACTGAGCGTTGTGCGACTTGCAGTTTCCTTATGATGTCCGTTTCAAATGTCCAGGTTTCGCTTGCATAGGTCATGACTCGTAGTACACATTGCTCGAATGTTTTCTTCTTTAGATAGAGTGGCATTCTAGATTTGAACATGATTGAGTTTCTTCCATAAGTACTCCATGCTAACTTAATTCTTCTGTTGATGTCTGGTAGTAGAGACCCCGAGCTGTATATTAGATGTGTCAAATAAATTCTTCTACTATGCGTATATCTACATTAGGTATATTGAATAAAACTTTGTTCAAAAATCCGAAAATTACATACTTACATGCATATGCATACATATTATAATAATTACATGTTGTTGACGACTTAATCAAATTTGTAGTTACGTAGATATAGTACAGATATTTATCTTAATATTAGGTAAGAGAGGGAATTTTTGGAGAATGGCCCGAACTGGTAAAAAAACCCTGGAAATTTTGAAAACGGAGGGACTATAGCGCTACTACAAAACACGCAGCGCTAATTGTGCCTCACGCCCGGCATTTATCATAAAAGGGGTATTTTGAATATTCAATGCCTGGAAGGTGAATACAGAATTAAGTTTTTCGGTTAAAATATCAGGCTGTTCGTTAGCCAATTAACGGACGGATGTGTGGAATTCCAAATGAAATATGGAATGACGGAATCGGAGAGATTAAATTGGGTTTTGTGCTGGCACAGAGTTATGATAACGAACAGTTTGTTTCCCTATATTTGAATGAGTTGAAAAACTAGTTTACACTATGTGAATGTAGGGCTACGATTGAGATAGGGCTACTTTTTAAGAACATTAGAAATTTCTTTGCAGTAGAGATTAAACTAAGATTTAAGAACAAGAATGCTCCGACGCTGGGTGTTTTCAACCTGATTGTGTGATACCAAAGCATGGACCCTTAAAAGAACCGAAATCAACAAACTCGAAGCTTTCTAAAAGTGGTGCTACGCCTTACATATGTTACGAATTTCTTGGGTCGGCAGCGTTACAAATATTGAGGTGCTACGCTATATGAACAAGGAAGAAGAAATACATATAACCCTTAAGAGTCTATTGCGCTGTACTTTCGGGTCGCCCTCAGGGGCCGGGTAAAGCAGGTGTGTGGCCGAAGGAAATATATATTATATTTTATAAATCTGCCTAAGGCTTACCCCGATCCTATCGTGTTAAGCCACACTCAAATTCCAAACACACGTGCTTTGATTAAGGCTTCATTAAGGTTTGCAGAGCTTCAGCATTTGCCATAATATAGCGAGCAATTTGTTACAAAACCATATAAATTATATATCACTGTAATCACAAAACTTATTAAACTAATCTATTTCCGTATTGTAACAGAATTGTATATCATGTTTTTATTTTCGAAAAAATCTAGTCCAAACATAAGGAATATTTTGTTGATGTTTGACGATCAAAATCTTAAAAATAAGGTTGTCTAAAATCTGCTACAATACGGATATAGTATAATCCCTTATCTTTAATTTCCTTCTTCATTTGTGTAAAAATACCTAGCCAGTTTTAGATAAAACGTTAAATGCCGAACACTTATTTTGCTACTTTTTCGGACTAGTGAAATGGACTCTAAGAAGAAAAAAATATAATATTTTCTACATGTTATAAGAGGTCATAAATACCAATTACTGCAGAATATTATGGAAGAAAAAATCCAAGGAGGACGTAGTCGATGCTAAAGAAGGACATCCTGGCTGACTAACCTCAGAACCTGGTATGGAATGGCATTGAATGGATTATTTAAAGCAGTATTTTGTGATGCAAATGTATTGTTACATTACTATTACCAACATAGAGATTCCTGAGCAATACATGCTTATTATATCAGGTTCAGAAGCTATCTTTAGAACCGATTATCATTACCATTTTGGCATGGTAAAAGTCTACTTTCAACACCACATCATATAAATCTGAGTGAAAATAAAAACAGAAAATGTTTCATTTATAGAAATTTAAAACTGTTTAAGTAACTGTCTTTTTCAGTAATGTACAACGAACGAGTGGAAAGAAAAGACATTCTAATAAATAAAACAACAGTGAAAATAGTAGAAGAATATTTATATTTGGGACAACTAATACACAGCTCGGGATATCTACTACCAGAAATCAACAGAAGAATTAAGTTAGCATGGAGTACTTATGGAAGAAACTCAATCATATTCAAATCTAGAATGCTACTCTATCTAAAGAAGAAAACATTCGACCAATATGTACTACCAGTCATGACCTATGAATGCGAAACCTGGGCACCTTAAACGGACATCATAAAGAAATTGCAGGTCACACAACGTTCAATGGAACGAAATATGCTGGGAATAACCAAGAGAGACCGTAAAAGAATAGAGTGGATACGACAAAATACCAGGTAATAGATGTCATCCACAGAGTCAAATCCCTTAAATGACAATTGGCAGGACACCTGGCAAGAAGAACGGATAACAGACGAAACACAAAAATGACTGCATGGTATCCACGAGGAATTATAAGACCAAACCCTGAAATGGGACCATGAAATTGGGAAATTAGCAGGGATAATTGGGCTTGCATAACCAACAATAGACAACAATAGCCCCAACTACAAAGAGAGTATGTAAAGGAGGCTCCGCTATAATTGGAAATGGTTGAATAAGCTGAAAATAATGACGATGAAGTAACTGTCATTAATTAGTATTTCTCAATTTGGATCTTGATTTTAAGTAATGTCGGTTTACCAGAACGTCAACGGTTTTAATAAACGTGTCTGCTAAATATTTACAGTGTCCTCTGTGCAGTTACATTTAGAAATTTTCAGTTGTTTTTTCTTTATTCTTGTTTTTTTGCTCTTAAAGACGGGGGAAGATATATCCCCTGAAACGATAAACATACTTTTTGATTAGGCAAATTTGTTTTACAAGTAAAAAGCCACTGACAAAAAATATTTTTTACACTATCTACTGTAATAAAAGTCAATTTTTTACACTAGTGCAAAAATAACTTACACCTTGACATTATTAATGACTAGTTTTATTAAAGAGAAAAAAATTTGTGAAGAAAGAATTTGTCAAATCCTGGAGGGTAGACCCAGTACCAGTACTGGATACCTCGCAGGAAACCTCCAATTGGATACCTCCAATTCCGGAAAAGAGTTTTAAGTGAAGAGCAAGAACCCGAGATCTCCACGAGCAGAAATGAGAAAAAAATGCAAAAGACTACTGAAAATGAAGTTTGTCCATCAATTACTTACGTGAATTTTTCAAACTGCCATTAAAATTAAAATCAACTCAAAAAAAGTTATTAAAAAAAATAAACTAATATTTGTTTATAGTGTCATTTTTAGTGGTAATATTATTTTGTGAATTACTGTAAAAACTTTTTAATAAACATTTAAATAAGCATTTCAATTCTATCAAACCACTCAACGTAAGAAGCTCAATTTTGGCATACAGGTTGATTCTAGGGTGTAGAGGTTCGATAAGAAGCGATTTTTCGAAATTCCAGTTCCAAGAGGGTGAAACCACCCCTCAAATATTACAATATTTTTTATTTAAAAAACGGTCAAGTTTCCGAAAGAACGCTTAAACACGTATATTTTATTTTGTTTTTTTACATATTTTAAGATTTTTTAAAAATGTATACAGGGTGTTTCGAAATATCTGGTCATTGATTAATCACGATCCTGCTTAAAGCGCTTGACGTAAAAACCTGATATTTGGAAAACAGATTGACTTTATGGAGTAGAGGTTCGATAAGAAGGGATTTTTTGAAACTCGAATTCTAAGGGGGTGAAAGTATCCCTCAAATATTAAAATATTTTTTATTTAAAAACCGGTGAGTTTTTCGGAAAAACTCTTAAACACTGTATTTTATTTTGTTGTTTTACATATTTTAAGATTTTTTATAAATTTATACAGGGTTTCATAAAATATGACCATTGAGTAATCACGATTCTGCTAAAACTGCTTGACGTTTAAAGCTGATTTTTGGCAAACGGATTGACTGTGGGGTTTAGAGGTTCGATAAGGAGGGGTTTCTCAAATCTCAAGTTCCAAGAGGGTGAAACGTCCCTCAAATATTACAATATTTGTTATTTAAAAAACGGTTAGTCTTTCGGGAAAACGCTTGGACAAGCATAACTTATTTGGTTTTTTTACATATTTTGAAATTTTTTAAAAAATCGTACAGGGTGTTCCAAAAAGTTGGGTAATTTCTTAACCACGATTCTGCTTAAACTGCTTGACGTAAAAAGCTTATTTTTGGCAAACGGATTTTTCGAAAGTCAAATTCCAAAGAGATGAAACTACCCCTCAAATATTACCAAGTTACATAATAATATCGCCATATTGTTTTTTCTCATGCTGACATAAATGTGAGAAAATTTTATCCAGTTTGTAAATGGAAATTCTTGCTTTATCATCACCATTACAAATGATTAATTCGACGCGAAAAATATCGTGCGATCCTAGGAAAAATATCGTGTGCAACATGTGCAAAAAGCATACTTGTTGCACTCAGCATGATTGCAGCTCTCGACTTCGTCTCAAGTTACAAAATTCATGCGTCGTGCAAATTATGTCATTTTTGCACTAGTTACGCAAATAACTATTTTATTTTGTTTTAGATTTCTGTTGTGGCGACTGCTCAATGGCGAAAAACCCAGGCTTTTTTCAACAGATTGTGAATCTTGATTAATGATATAGCATAGATATGCTGTTTATTTTTCCGTCAAATAACAACAAGAAATATTACCACCAGGCCACCCATACGATATATTTTCTACCTGGCTTACCACATTATAACGATTTATTTTTAAGGATTCACCTACCTGGTCTTTTTCGATGAAACCGATGAATGCGGTTCGTTCGATTTCTATTGGCTGTCCTCCCCTATCGTAGAGGGCGATGACGAAATGGAAGAAGTTGGATTTTCTTAAGTTTGATGGCGGCTGTTTTTCGAAATGGGCTCGTCCCACAGTCGATCTGAAAGAAAAAATATTTTTCATTCTAAAGAAATATTATGAATTGCAAATTTAATAAAAGAAACATAGTGCTAAATAATGTCTAAACCTTCGAGGCGGATTCATCTCTTCAAAAAAGTCTTAAGACTGTATAAGGGACAAAAAATGCTTAACGTTTCAGGAGTTGTATTTCCTCTTGTCTGAAATGTTATGCATTTTTAAGGTAAATTTGTTTTATTAGTAAAATAACCCTGAAAAATTGGGCACCGTTGGATCAACGTAGCTGTGTTTACAAAAAATAACTATTTTATTATGTATATTTTCTCAAAGTGCGTCCAGACCTGACGAGACGAGAGCGAGGTGAGAACGAGGCAAGAACAAGGCAAGACCAAGAGGAGAGCGAGACATTTTCTATCCATTTTTTGAGGCAACCTGCCAAGAGACAACCGAGCTGGATTATAGTGAAAGGGACCCAAACACATAATAAATTGTAATTTAATATAACAAACGATTATACCAAAAAATAACGCATACAGCAATAATTTTTTGTATCTTTAACGTGGTATTTGGTTCGTCGTATTTTATTCATCGTCGGTTTTTTCCCTTTTGGTTGTTTTCCCCTTTAACCCTTCATTTGTTTCGAGACACGCCATCTTTTACAAAATAAGTTTTTAACGTTTTTTGCAACAAAATGTTAAATACAAAAAATTGTTGCCTATATAATATATATTTTTTATAATGAGAATACCCTATTTTTTATTTTATAATTAGATTCTACGTACAATTCGTTAACTTGTTTTGCATATGATATTACATATCTAAAATTAATAGATTTTATAATAATTCAATTTGTTTAAATAAATGTTAGATTACGATAAAAAATTGTAAATTCTATCAGAAGAAATGATAATACATACCATTTTAAAAATTTGAGATTATTTAATTTTGAATAGCCGAAATTCATAAATCAGATCTAATATCACGCAGTCGAGCGAGCCAACCAAAAACACGTCCAGACTGTGCCGCGAGCTTTCTTTCATCGGCCGTCGCAAAACCGGCAGAGAACGGATAGCAACGAGGCTCCGTGGGTTGTCTCGCGAGACCCGTCCACACTTAGCGAACTTGGAATGTCTCGCACTCGTCTCGCTCTCGCCTCGTCAGGTTTGGACACACCTTTACAGTGGTGAAATATCCAAAAGCACAGCTGTATTCTTATAACGACGGTATACCAAATGAAGTAGAAAATATAACTGTGGCATTCCAATTCTAAAAAAATATTTATACAATTTATTTTATGTAAAAAATTAAATATTGCCGGAATATTAATAGATATTTGTAATTAAAACCTTCTCTTTATTACTGTCATCCAGCATATACTTACACATACGATTTGCAAACAATTTGTTGCCAAACTATTTATTCTACAGGGTGTTTTAAAAAATATGTGCCATCTCTCGTGGGGAGAGAGATGGCACATGTTTTTTAAAATGTATGATGAGATTCCTCACGTAAAAATATGATTAATTTGTCATATCAACATGGATAACAACTGATTCCATCTACACACAAAAGTGTGTAGGCAATTTAATGCTGATTAGAAGTTGTACCTTGACATTTTGTCCATTTCGATCTCCTCGATGAGATAAACGGTATTTTATAAATGACAATTAATAAAATTGAAATAAAAATAAAATTAATAAATTATTTCTTTAATGTAATTTATTACTAAATTTTATTATAATTTATAACACTGATGTTACAGTGGTACCTACAGCAAACTCCCTTAGAAAATAATGGTATTAAAGATAATTACAAAAGGTCTACTTTTAAAAAGTTTTAATATCCTGTAACTTTAAAACTTTGTATTTCCGCACCCATGTTTATAGAAACTTTTTTTATATTTTTTAAAGGTTGCTATTAGAATAATTCTAATAATAATTTATCCAATTTGCCTTAATCTAATTATTGGATTAAGGCAAATTAATTAAATAGCATTTAACTCATCGAGGACACCGAAATTGACAAAATATCAAGAGACTAATTAGCATTTAACGGTCTACACAATTTTGACAACAAAAAAAAACTCAATAGCGCACATTTTTTTTAGAAAAATATTCCAGTGATAACCCATACGCAGGTCCCTTGAATATGTTGACACTTGTTTAGCATTAAAATATGTCGCACTGGTAATTTTTCCGCCAAATTTCATTGGAATCGCCGAAAGCACTTGGAAGAAAATTATAACAAATCGAAAAAGGATGAAGACTTTAACACCCTGTAACTACGAAACAAAGCAGAATCGCACCTATGTTAATATGAAAAATAAATCTTGTTCTTACAAGAGGAATCTCCCCACATGTTTTTTTTTAAACACCCTGTACATCAATACAGTAATACTTTGTCACAATAATTTTCACGCGCTAACTGTTTACAGAGATTTTAGCATTATGACGCTATCACTACCACAAGTTCTAATAATACTGACGTTATTAAGATTCAAAACACTTATTAGAATCATAAAGTAATGAAATGAATATTTAAAAGTGAAAGCAGTTCTAACACTAATGTCTCACAAATTCTAAAATTAGAAAAAGTTAAAAAAAAATGATCATAGGTTTAGGAAAATAGCGGTAATATGAAATAAAAATACCTAATATAAAAGAACCTATTTGACACACAAATAGTGCAACATTTATACGAACCGACTGAATTATTCACTGGTACATTTTCAATTAAATAAGTGCCATATCGTAACACTTCGAACAATTTTAATGTCCTACGTGATGGAAATACAATTTTGCCACGCTTTAGATGATTGAAGTTCCATGCATTATTGATATGATCGATCTAGCGGCTAAAAATGACCATCGCACACTACAGACATTCTATCGATGCATATCTACGTTAAATTAAGTTCTACAAATTGTCAATAAATAACATCTCCAATATGTTTGTTGTATTGTACTGTATAGAATATACAGGGTGGTCTGAATTGTATTCAAGAAACTTCGGTAGCATATTCTGCAGATAAAAATCAGTAAATAGGTTCATATAAATGCTTAGTTTTGGAGATACAGGGTGTAGAAGTTTCATTTTTATTTCGTTTTTTTCAAATAATTTCTGAACTAAGATTGATAGTCGATATTTGGATAAAGATTGTTATCTGTAATTTTTTTGACATGAGAAATTTAATTTTGACGTCAATATGAGTTCTACTTGTAGAGGACGCCACCTACATATTTTTTAACTGGTTTGAAGAGTAATAACTTTTCGTCCGTGCAATATATAAAACTACCGAGTAAAAAAATATACATTTTACGACGTTTTCTACGCAAAAAAAATATTTTCAGTAAAAATCGCTACAAGTAATGGTTCACTGATAAAAAAGATAGACTTGAACTAAAGTCGTCATCGTTCTTGAAAAAAAAATAGTGACACGAGAATTTATTTTAGCGCAAAAGAAAATATTTTTAAAAAATAAAAATTCGAAAATTTCTCTTGAATCTATTTTCATTCAACCAAGTGCAAGTTACTTTGTTTTAAGATAATAAGAAAAATACGCTAGGAAGTACTTCATTCAAGAAACATATTCATTTTTCCAATAGCTAAATACTCTTGTGATGAAAAATAATAATAACACGCAAAGACGATGACGAGGACGGTATATACAATCAGTCGGCAGTCCGATCAGTCGTACATCATAGTACGCACGGGTTTTGTTGCTTGGAATTTTGAATAATTTGCTTTTTAAACGCATATCGTATAACAAATTAGTGATCGTTATTAACATGCATTTGTCATTTTTTATGGACAAATTTTAGATTATATATAGATTCTATAAAGGAGTTTCTGAAAAAATGGAAATTAGAGAATTTATTTGCTATATTTGAAGGTAAGAGACATTTACCTAATGCACCTGTTTAGATAATGCATGCGTGACTATAGATAGAATAAGAATATAGGTATCGATTTTTTTATGCAAATAATTACAAAAATTTTTGAATTTCAAGTCGTCGTATTAAAAAATTCAAAATGTGACCAAAGCTTATAATTTTAATAATTTATTTGCTTTACTTTGAAATCGTAATGTAACATTTCTTTGTAATTTGTAGAGTGATGAACCACTCCAAAAAATACCAAGGAGTGAAGAAGCAGAAATAACTACTATCGAGGAAAATAATATCACTTTACTTACTACAGACCAGGAAAACCTAAATTTATCAGAAAATAATATACCTCGTAATATGCCTGTATATGATGTATCGACTTCTCTTAGATCAAAATAAATTTTAGTTGAGTCAATAGTATTCGCTATTGGTTTAAGAAAAGCGCCTCTTTAATCAAGAAATGTTCCTTTTCAATCAAGAATTTTTGCATGAATCAAAGAGACTATTGTTCTTGTAGCAAGAACTTCTTTGCATATTCATTTTGGGTCAAGAGTGAAATACTTTGGACAGATAGATTCTTCTATTCTCTAAAGTAATTTTTTAAAGCTTATGAAAAGAGAGTTAATCCTTTGGGCAAAGAAACGTCGTTCTTGGCCCTATTGAAAAGGGCTGATCTTTTGGGTCAAAGTCATATTCATTTCGACTGAGAGATCCTTTTTTTCAGTGTACCTATCTTAAGAACGGTTGCTCGCAGCAATTTTTACTAAGAGATATTTTTTACGTAAACAGGAACGGAAATGTATATTTTTCACGCAGTAGTTTTATACGGTACGGACGAAAAGTTAATACTCTGAAAAATGGTTAAAATACATGAAGGTGGCGCATGGCGCTCCTCTACAAGTAGGAGTCATATTAACATCGAAGTCCAAATTTCTCATGTTAAAAAACACTCAGACACCATAATTTTTATCCAAATGTCGACTATAGTTCAGAAATTATTTGTAAAAACCCGAAATAAAAATGAAACTGCTGTATCTACACCCTGTATCTCCGAAACGAGACATTTTAGGACATAAAATTATACAATATAATAACATAATTTTACATATAAAATGACAGCGATCTTCATTTCATA